TCTCGATATCACGGCCACAGGTAAGTACCGGCCCTACGGCCTCCCAAACAAGCAAGTACCCTTGCGGGTCACACACACACTCATGCCGACAAGCACTCAGACAGGCATGCAGGTCACCAAGCATGCACACACACGGACTTAGAAAACTCAGCAGAATGTGGGAATCTCAGCAAGGCATCCATTCCAGCGGCAGAACCCAGAAATCAGCAGTATTCTCAATCTGTGTTATGGCGGGTCATTACACATGTATAAATTCATTCGTAAATTGCTACCACTCATTGCTAAAGTTGGAAGCCACTTTAGATACACAGAGCATAAAATGGAACTATTTGGAAACAAAAATTACAAAAACGGATCACAAAACCCTCCTGAAATGTATGCATAAACTCAAGAACGAAGCCACACTCCGGGAGGGGTTGTTAAGCTCTCTCTCTATTCAGTCTATCCGTCATTTCAGGAGTGTCAGTTCCGTGAACACGAAAGTGTTGATGATCATCGACACTTTCCATAGAATGGTGACAAATACATATGACATGAAAGATCTGCCCGCTGTATTGAAATTATATTGCACGGAGCTCAAACTATTGGAATACCCGTGGAAGACAACACGTTCGGCAATTCTGGCCTTCGTCAGGAATTGTACAAACAACACAGTGTGTGATGCCTTCCTGGAATTTCTGGAAAACGAAGACAAAAATAATTGGTAAATCAAAAGGAAGGAGCACACTAAAACGAGTTTGGATGTCCATGGAGAGATAAAGCAGCAACTCCCCTTTCTACCGTACAAAATTCAAAGGACTTAGAGCCGAGTACCCGGAGATGGAAAACAAGTTTGGCGACCTCGGCCTCTCTCGATATCATCGAAGGTTCTTTCCGAAACAAAGATGGATGAACGGAAGGGTATAAATAGGTCGCAATATAAAACCATGTTGAATTTTGGAAGGAAAATCAATGCAGCAAACAACCTTAGGCCGAGCAAGAATTAAAAAAATCGAATATAAGGTCATACGGAAATAAAAAGGATATAACTACCAGACAGTCGGAAAAAAAAATCAAGACAAGCTCGCCTAACAAACATACCGACCATGTAAAAAGTGGAATCGATTTCTAATCTCACGAGATTCTATCGAAGGATCTGAATCGATACAACACTCGGAAATTCGGGAACACATAAACACTGCAAGCAAGGACAAAAAAGCAAAAGTCCGAATTCCAAATTCCAAACGTAAAAATTCATGAACGGGGATAGAACATGGGAAAGAAGGAGACCGGATACGTACCTTGATACTCCATTGGATATAATGGCGCAGAGAATTTTCGTTGAGAAAGAATACTTGGACATATCGTGACCAGGAGAGCATTTCGATGACAGAAATCATGAACAGCGGTGAGGATACTTCGTGGAATGTAAAGGTGCAAACTTCCACAAAGCTTTTTGGAGAGAAAGTGTTTTGACATATAGCGATCAGGAGAACTTCGGGATGCTGAAATCCATCAACGGCAACGAGGATACGATGATGTTGAGAGGAGGCTGCAAGGAATAGGGTTCAGCTCGACGGAGAAGTATTTGGACCAAAGGGTATATACTATATACTATATATGCTGGTGATAATGGCTGAAAAGATTACCTGAGCAGAGGGGTAGAAGGGTAATCGCGACTTTGCGAGTCGCATGCCACGGACAGGACGTGTATTCTGTGAAAGTAAAGCCTCACACGTGTTGTCCAATATTGCAAGTGTGT